TAATATTTATATATATGTGTGAAGTAAGGTATATATTATATATTTGTTATGTAACTTTGACATGCAAAAAATGGCTTGCGCTTGGTGCTGTTAGTGGGAAAATTCACATTTAAAAATTGTTGCTACCAAAAATTTGGGTTTTCTTTTGTTGTTTTTGGTTTTGGTATCTTGTTCCTATATAGAGCAACATAGGCAATAACAGGTGCAATTTTTACTACGTACAAATTGTTATACGAAAAAGCTTACAAATTATTTCGTTTCATAATTGCTTGCGATTTTTCTGTATGTGTTTATGTATTTACTATATAAAAATACAATATATATATATTTATTAAAAGTCACAATTGTTTTTTTTATTTTTTTTCATCAATTTTGCTGCGTGCATACAGCAAAAATGACATTACAATTTGTTTACAGCGTTCCTAAAAAGTCAAGATCTGGAATACTAATGTTATTTGGATTTGTTTTCTTTTTATAATTCTGAAAATGGCTGAGCAAATTAATAAAGGTTCTGTTGATAATACATACGTACACATAAACACTCACTCACACACATACACACACACACACGCATACCACATGAAAATGGAAGTGGAGTAGAAAATACTTAATTATACAAGTAGCTTTGAAACGTGTCTGAGATTAACGCTTAGCTGTGCCATCTGATTCTGACATGTTTGCAAAATACATTTAAATTTATTTAAATAGCCCGCCCGAGTCTATGTAACAAAGTGCATAAGCATTCATGTATCATACGATCACACACAATCATGCCATAGTTGTTGGGCTTAATATGTTATAAATTGCAAATTATTTACTAGCTAGTATGTTATTTTCCATTTAGTATAGTATGTTTTACATTTATGGATATTAGACTAACGAGGATTTAGGTAAATGCATAAAATAATATCGTGACAATTTTAATAAGTATGCAAAATTTTTATTGCGCCTAGGGGCAAAAAATCGAAATGGAGACTTAGACATCGAGTTGGCATTCAATGCACACTCGCCGCTCACACACACACACACACATACACACTCATACTCATACTGACACAATCACACACATCAAGAGAGGCAGACACACGCACACAGAGTTTTTACAATTCATGCATACACTTTAGGCTTATAGTTGGTTGTTTTTGTTTTTCTTTTGGAATAAGAGCTAATAAATATACAATGCTAAAAATTTCAAGCACTTTTGCTATTTCTTTTTGTTTTGTCATCTGTAAATCCTTTTAAAGCTTTTTTGCGCCCAGTTTCAATGGGCCAGTTGCACGTTGCGCTCGTCGCGCCTCCAGTTCCCGCTGACGCTGCAGCTTCTTCTCCTCTCGTTTGCGGCGCGCTTCGTCCAGTTTACTGTTACCTGTGATAAAAAAGATATGATGATGTTAGTTAAGCACGTTGCTAGGTTTATATTCTAGTTCGAACCCACCTAAACCGGGTTCGTCTAGAGGTTCAAATTCGCCGTCGGCCCAGGAGTCGCTGTTCCAATTGGCATTATGCGTTGAGTTATTCAAATGTGATGTTGGCGGGCTGATGTTATTGCAATTGGTCAATGCGCCCGGCGTTGTTGGTGAAGTGTTGGCGCTGCTCGAAAGATTTGCCAGTTCCTTTGGTCGCAGTTGCTGACGCGATGGCGATAAGGTGTTGTGTGAATTGAGTTTGGCCAACGGCTCGATAAGATCGTTTAGCTCATGCTGCTGCAGTTGCTGTTGATGTTGGTGTGGCAACAGCGGTCGCTGCTGTTGCTGGCTAGATGATGTCGTTGAAGATATCGATTGTCTGGCCAGCTGCTGCTGTTGTTGCTCCTGTTCCGCCTGYTCCTCCTCCTCGCACTATGAAAGTGTGTTACGATATTAATTTCATTTCACAATATTTATAATTTGTTGCATTAGCTTACTGGATCCTCTTCCAAGCTACCCCATTCCTCATTGTCCCAGCCATCGCGCACTTCACTCAGTGGATTGGTCGTTATCAGTTGACCATTATTGGAGCTAGCTGCAAGCGGACTGCTTGGATCCTGTGAAGTCTACACAAAGAATTTATATATAATAAAGCTTTGAGTATTTTGCAAATTAAATTTACATCCATTTCTCCCCAGTTCTCATTATCCCAATCGTTGTTGCCATAATCAGAGGCTGAGGCGGAGGTATCGTTACTTTCGTGCTCCAAGGATGTCATGGATGTAACGCTACTTGTAGTGGTCGACAGGCTGCTACTCGATGGTTGTTCTGTTCCAAATAAATTACATATTACTACTTCTATTTGAGTTTTGTTCTATGTAAAACTTACCCAACGACGCTGGCTTCGATAGATTCCGCCCTGTTAATGGCGGTCTGGGTCTGGACGAATCGCTTTGACTGCGATAGAACTTGGCTGTCACGGCTGTAACTGCCCAGCCCGCCCATGTGGCTGCAGCATTGCCAATTGAAGGCGTTGCGGTGTGAACATCCGCTTCTGCAATTCAATGCGTTAGCTTCTCATTTCAATTTGTGTTATGTATCCAACTTCTTACCCATTGTTTCACGCAGACTGGGATCCTCGGAGACCTTCTCCAATTTGCCCAAAAATCCGCGTATTGTTTTAAAGGCCGGATCGCGTACAGTTTTCTCTGGATCAACACTCAGAGAACACAGCGATGGTAAGACACGATTGGCCACCTCACTAAGCAAAAAGTATTGTTGAGTGGCTGCCAGCGCCAAAACACCAGCAACACGTGCTGGCGGAAAGGGATCGCGCATGGCACGTATAAAGGCTGAGACGAGAACACGTTGGCGCACCTGCGGATGCAGATGTGGCGCAATCTTGCCCAGGCAAACTGTTGTATTGGTACGTATGCCGCCCTGATCGTCGCGTGCTTGTAGTCGAGCGAAATGGCGCAATACCTCCACATTGAGATTGTTGTAGTTCAGCTTAGGCGCTAGGTGAATAATGGATTTGACCGTCTGCTCGCGTATGGTGGCGTTGGTGTCCAGAAAGCCATGCGCTACTTGTGGAAATATTTGCTCATTTACCACCGGCGGTTGCAAATGCGCAATAAACAGATCCAATTGCTGCAGCAGACGAGAACGGGTCACGCGATCCGTGGAGGCAAAGAGCTTCACTACACAGGGCACAATACGTTTCTGATACTCTACTTCGTCCAGCAGCTTCCCAAGCTAAATATAGATGTGAAACAAATTGTTAATGCCCTGTTTATATATAGTTATATGTATGGTTACTCTACCTTGAACATGGGCGCCAGTACTGCTGAGCCAGCATCGCCGTATTCGTAAGCTGTTATCAGTTGTGGAAGTATTTTGTGTTTACAAACGTTATCTGGAAAGTTTTCCAGATGCGTGGTCAGCCCGCTAAAGAAACGATTCTTTTCCGCTTTGTCTTTGATTTGAATTTCTTCAAGAAAGAGCAGTGTGTCCACCAAATCGTTTTTAAAGAACCCGCCTGGTTTGCGACAGCGCGTTATAATATCAGCTGGATTGGGCCGGTTTGAAGGCGATGCACCAACGAGCTCGCAGTATAGAGATTGCAGTGATTTGGGTATGTGTTCGATGTCCTTGAGATTGGATCGCTGCTTTAGCACGCCGTTAAAGGCCTCCCAAACGAGACATCCCAGACCCCACATGTCGACAGAGCTGTTGAAACGAGATTTATGGAATTAAGTATGTGATGGAACATAAATATATATGCGGTGTATACCACTTGGTAGCAGCCTTGAGTTTAGTCGGATCATTCTTCTCCGGCGCATCATAGACCTCTAGCGTTACGGGTATTTTCGCGGGCGGCATGGGATTACCATCAGCAGCAGAGACATACTCCAGGCTGCCCAGCTTCCATTCGCCGGAAGAATTGACGAAGACCGACCATGCAGAGACATTGTTGTGCCGCAAATTTCCATCGTTATTGAGAAAGGAGAGAGCACGCTGTAGATATATGAAAGATGTATAATTATATGAGTGCAAATATGCTCATTATTTGACTTGCCGTAATTTGAAAGATGCCCCAAGCCAGATAGAGGCCCTTTTGTACATTGTCTGTGGCTAGTTTGGTGAAATATGTGCCCAGTGGTTCCACGGCCTCGGTGGCCACATATAGCATCTTATCCGTTTCCAGTGAGTCTAGATATTGCAGTATACTGGGATGACGCAACGTTTTAAGGCGTTTTAGTGCCGCCTTGGCCAGTTCACTTTTCGTCTCGGATCCACTTCGTATATCATAAACAAAGACGGAGACCTCCTCTAGGGTGCCTTTGCGTTTGGCCTTGTGCAGCGTCCATATGGAATAGTTATCAAAGCCAGCAACGGGTTCGCCAATGTCATACGGAAAGTCTTTGGAGGAGTCGCGCGAGAAGAACGACCACATCATGTGTTTTGCTCGACGGCTCAATATTTTGTTACGTCCGACAAACACACAAAATGCGACAACACAGACACCCACACACACACACGCGCGCACACACACAGCTGTTGCTGTCTGTGTTTCTGTTGACTATTGTTTAAGGCAGTAGAAGAGAGGCGCTGCCGAGAGAGATAGAGATGTTAACGTTAATGCGTGTGCACCACCACCACCATCAAAACTATTGCCAGCTACATACTTTTCAGACGTTTGCATTTATCGTATTCCTTTTGTTTTTTTTTTATGCCAGCTGTTAGCGTGTTGGATACTTGTACTTATGATTTATCTACGCATTCATGAATCTTATCATCGACTCGGCTGACTTCGACTTTTGTTGTTGGCTTCCTCTATGCACAGCAACAATTTTTCAACATACTCTTGTGTTTTGCAAGTCGTGTGGTATTTGGGCTTAATGAAAAATTAAAGACTAACGCATTTATATTTGCACTATATTACATTATTAACTACTGCGTTGTGTCTAATGTGTATCAATTGCTTAATTATTTCTAAACTTTTTCCCGAGTACGTCAGCTTTTTGCTTCTTCTTGCTTTTGGTTACTTTAGTGATGACACGCGAGCTGAGGGGCACACAATCGAATATATGAGCAGCTGACTTGGCGCAATGTTATCGATTGAATAATTAATATTCATATAAAATTAAAACTAATTATCTGATTAATTAAAAATATAATTGATATAAATAAATCTATAACAATAATTTATCTACTAATATGTGACTAAAATTTCGATTCGTTTTTAATATTGAAGGGTTAAGTGCTTGCAATTCAGAGCAGTTGCTGACATTCACAGCCAAACACTTGACAGTTGCTTAGTCTGGCAATACCGCCCTGTGTTATAACATTCGTCTCGCTGCCAACTTCACGCAGGTAAATTTTCGCTGTACGTTCAGGCAATATTTGTGCTAATTTCTTGTGCAGGAACTTCAACAGCTCACAGGATGATGATGCAACGTACTACGCTTTTGCTGCCAATGGCTGTTGAAGCCACCAATGTTGCCCAACAGCAACGTGGTATGGCCACATTGAAGCATATTTCCATGCGCCTCAAATCCGTAAAGAACATCCAAAAAATTACGCAATCAATGAAAATGGTGTCCGCGGCCAAGTACTCCCGTGCCGAGCGTGATTTAAAGGCAGCGCGTCCCTATGGCATTGGTGCTCAACAATTCTTTGATAAGACCGAAGTGCAGGCTGATGGAGCTGTCGAGCCCAAGAAGCTGCTTATTGCCGTAACTTCGGATCGTGGCCTCTGCGGTGCCGTGCATACCGGTGTTGCACGTCTCATCCGTGGCGAGCTGCAGAAGGATGATTCTAACACCATGGTGTTCTGCGTTGGCGACAAGTCGCGTGCCATTCTGTCCCGTTTGTACGGTAAGAACATCCTGATGGTGGCCAACGAAGTGGGCCGTCTGCCACCTACTTTCCTGGATGCATCCAAGATTGCGCATGAGGTATTGTCGACCGGGTACGATTATACCGAGGGCAAGATCGTGTACAACCAGTTCAAGTCTGTTGTCTCGTACAAGTGCTCCACGTTGCCCATCTACAGTGGCCCCACTGTGGAGAAGTCGGAGAAGTTGGCCGTTTACGATTCGCTCGACAGCGATGTCATCAAGAGCTATCTGGAGTTCTCTCTGGCCTCGCTCATCTTCTACACCATGAAGGAGGGCGCTTGCTCTGAGCAATCGTCCCGTATGACTGCCATGGACAATGCCTCGAAGAACGCCGGTGAAATGATTGAGAAGCTGACCCTCACATTCAACCGCACCCGACAGGCTGTCATCACTCGCGAGTTGATTGAAATCATCTCTGGTGCCGCTGCCCTGACATAAGAAGTGTACTCGTAACACACTCCAGTTTGAGCCGCAGCTTTAGCTTGAACGATTTCATCAAACCTAATTCAAACATTACGAAGATTCGAAAACGCCATTGCTGCGTGTTAAATGATATAAAACTTATAATTATCTGAGATAAAAACCAGAATAAATAGCGTGGAACGAAAAAATCGAATTTTGGTTAGAATAAGTAATAGTTTGGTATTTTTTTTGTTTGTTAATTTTTTCCCTTACGAAATTCTTTGTTTAATTCCTATATTTACTCGGCTAGTAGCCTATTTTCATTTGTTTCCAAGTATGGCTTGGAGACTTTTAAGTAACTAACCTATAATTTAATATATTAATACAGCATTCTCCGATATCTCAGAAAGTGGTACAAGGACGTTGCGGACAAAGTTGTATACTAGATAACGCCATCTTCATTATTGTTTTGAAAATAGGTGTTAAATGTATTTTAGATAACTTCAAAAACCACAATTACAATTAACTTGTTGCTTAAAAGCTATGGAATCGTGCTGAACACGTTAAGGCTCGATCAGAAATCTGATTAGACTGGCCGTTTTGTTCCTTAACTAATTTTAGCACATATTCTGCAGAACATTCAATATGTAAGCGCCAATGTCTTCATCCTGGTTAGTCCAAGTAATTAGTATAGTCTTTTGCTTGGGATCTTTTTCGTCCTCCTCCACATTGATCTCAACGGTCTCTACGGTTATAATGCCGCTCTCCTGTAGCATTACGTTCCAGCCAATCAGCTTCTCTTCCAACAGCGTTTTCAGCTTCTCGCTGGTGCGCAACTTTGGTCCTGGATCATCCATTTTGACCTTTGATGTGAAACGCATCACATGTCTATTAATGCCAATCTCTTTGAGGGCATCAGTCAGATTTTGTAGCATAATGCGATTGTCTTTCATCACCAGGACGCCGTGTATGAGGCGACGACGCTTTGGATCCGGTGGCTGAGCATTGTAGGTGCGGGCCTCCGCCTTCAGCAACGAAATCGAGGCATCCACGGGTATTTTGACGGGCGTAGAGATTACACAGGTCTCACCATTGGCTGGCATATATGTTTCCAAATTAAACTCGTCTCGAATTTTGGCTCGCAGGAATTTCATCTTCTCAGCTTCGCCGTGGACAAGCATTACGTGTTTGGGCTCACAGTTCTGGATGAGCTGCATTATACCTAAAATGAATATAAGACTTATTTGATGCAATCTGGACGTATCTATTAATATTACCCTTGGCATCGGCATGAGCCGAAAAGCTCATGTACTCCACGGCCATTTTGACCTCTATGATCTGACGATTCTCGCATTCGACTTTTTTGGCACCACCTAGAATCTTGTTGCCCACTGTGCCCTGCACACAGTAGCCGGGCATTATGACCATATTGTTCTCATTCGGTGCCCATTTCTTAAAGATTTGTAACGAGAGACCGGCGTGCAACATGCCTGGGGTGGCAAAGACAACCATTGCACCTGGATTATCAATGTATGCCTTGTCGAAGGGCTTTATGTGTTTGAAATCAAACATATTTCGGTGTACAAACGTTTTGCGGATCTTTTGATTCGTCCAAGTGATGAACATTTTGTAGTATGTATTCGCCTTCTCAGTGAGACCCAGTGCAAAATAGATGGGATATTTCAGATTCATGCGTTCCCAATATGTTTCTAGCAGAATGCAAAGCTCCTGCGCTCGTCCCAATGCAAAGACTGGTATCAAGACTTTTCCTCCTTTTAAAACGCATTCGTGTACTTTTTTAAGGAAATCTCGTTCCCTACAGCGTTTGGAATCTCGTATTGTTGTGGCGTATGTGCTCTCCGTTATAAGCAAATCCGGTCGGCATTTGTCAATCCAGGCCGCGCCTAAGTGCCGATCCGGAGTCATATTGTAATCGCCGGTATAGACAACACTTTGGGAGCCAACTTTGATCCAAAACATTGCGGCGCCAAGCACATGGCCTGCATAGTAGGCCTTAATCTCTAGATCTGTGTCCACCATCATGCTCTGATGTAATGTGACGGGTATTACCTTCTTCATGCAATCTTTGATCATTTGTGTTGTAAAGAAATTCGATTCGCCTTTGCGTTCAACAGCCACTTTTCGCATATCTTCCAGTAGAATGGGTGCAATAGCCTTGGTCGGATGAGTCATGTATATGGGACCAGTGTAGCCCACTATCTCCGACATATAGGGCAGAGCGCCACAGTGATCTAAGTATATATATGTGATTAAATACAAGTGCTATTGGGAGCTTGATAGAAATTAATTACTGCTCACCAAGATGAAAGTGTGATATGATCACGCAATCAATGTGACTGGTAATTGGTCCTTCGGGCACAATGTATGAAAAGTCTGGGAAGCGTCTTTCATCATTGTAGCCCATATGCATGCCGCAGTCAAGCATTATGTTTTTACCGCCCATTGACAGTAGTAGACAGCTGCGGCCTACATCCTGACCGGCGCCTAATGGTGTTATTTTAATATCCGGCATTGTGTGTGCGAGTACTCGAAAAATTCTAATGCAATGGAGATTTTGTTAACGCCACCGGCCATCTGTTTTCCTCGATTGGTGATAATACAGCGCTGCCACTTTTGCCACAGATGTTGATGCATATGAGGAGCATGTTGATGCATGAGTGAGGAGTTATTCTGTTAAAGCTATAGCAAAATATTCGTTATGTTATGCTCGCTGTTGATAACATTGGTTATGTTAGTGTTCAATTCAGTTTTATTGTTCAACAATTCAGTCCAAACGGAGAGGTTTGCGGTCCATACAATTTTCTCAAAATGCCTGATACGCTGGAGGATGCGGGTCCTTCCACGGTATCGCTACGAATCTGTATGGAAGGCCATGCCAACGCCTTGGCCTTAAACAAGGAGCATAATCAAATTGCAGTTGCCGGACGTAGCTGTAAGTAAAACCCCATTCCTGAGCTTCTATTTCTGAGATTAACGAAAAGTTTCCTCCCAGTGCTCAAAGTCTATTCGATTGACGCTGAAAGCTTCACGGAGGTGTGCAACATGCGAGTCGGCAAAAATCAAAATCTCAGCTATTCCTCTAATGATGTTGCTTGGAGCACATTGGATAGCAATATTTTGGCCACGGCAGCCACCAATGGTGTTGTCTCCGTTTGGGATCTTTCCAAGTTTGGACGGCAAAAGCAGCTGCTCGTTTACAATGAGCACGAGCGCACCGCTCACACAGTTACGTTTCATAGCACAGAAGGGAATATTTTGATATCTGGCTCACAGGATGGCACCATCAAGTGCTTCGACATACGCTTCGATACGTCCGTGAACACATATTTCAGCAACTCGGAGTCCGTTCGCGATCTCAAGTTCTCACCGCACTCGCCGAATGTATTTTCCGCCGTATCAGAGAATGGAACCGTTCAGTTGTGGGACATGCGTAAGTGGGACAAGTGCATGGTTCAGTTCACGGCGCACAGTGGACCCATCTACACCTGCGATTGGCATCCTACACGCAATTGGCTGGCTACCGGCAGCCGGGATAAGCAAATCAAGGTGTGGAATATGGACGGACGTGCTAGTTTGGAGTACACCATACATACGATCGCCGTAGTTGGCCGTGTTAAATGGCGGCCTGAGCGAACGTAAGCTAATAAGATATTAATTGATTAGCAGTCTTATAATAATAATTATCGGCAGCTATCACATAGCCAGCTGCGCCCTTGTGGTGGACTACAGCATACACGTGTGGGATATACGGCGTCCCTATATACCCTTTGCCTCCTTTAATGACCACACAAACGTCACAACGGACATTGCATGGCAGGGCAGTGATTCGCATTGCTTGCTCTCTACAAGCAAGGATTCCAGCATATATAAGCACGCATTCAAGGATGCTACACGTCCGGCTTTGAAGGCCAATGCACAGGGCGCCAGCTTGGGCAGACATGGGGACATCTCATTTGCCAATAAAATAAAGGAATATGCAATTAAGTCGAGTGGCTTATCCAATACCAAGAGTACCAACTTTATGTGAGTTTAAGCATACAGAAACATTATCTATAATAACATGTATTGATCTTTATAGAAGTCGCCGTAAATCAAATATGCCCGGCAACATTCAATTCCATCTGGACCATTCCAAGATGTATATGTTTATGCTCAAAAATGTGGTAATAACGAACAGAAAATTTGAATATATAAGCTTCATTTTAATATTGAAAATGGCCCTATATAGAACATGGCCTCAGGCTCTGAATTTCCCGCACACGATACTACTACAGAGCTGCGGGTGCATGAAGTCTTCATTGGGTGTGCCCGGGAACTGCTGCTGAGCGGCAGGAAACTAGCCGAGCTGTGCGAACACAACGCAGAAGTCTCCCGGAAATACGGAAAATATAATGTAAGAAATATCAATGACGTTAGTGAACCTTCGATGATGAAAAAGATCAATTTCATATCAATCAATCCTATGTTTACCTAAGCAAACTGTTGTACTTTCAGGCTACCACACTATGGAACTTCATTAAACTCTTCTATGGCACCAAACACTTTGAGCCGCCCTTCGAGCATCGCTCCTCGTTCTCCAATCAAAAGAATCCCATTTCCTTGCGTCGTGCTGCACAAGTGGCCAGCGATTGGACGCCACACGATCAGGGTCAGGAGATGAATGGGAATAGCCAAGAGACACAGCTGGAAGCAGTCGATGTCAATGAGGATGGAGATGAGCTGGCTGTCGGTGGCAAACAAAATCCGCCGCCAACCAGTTCGGTGATACTCTCTGAAACGCAAATCATTAGTGAGATTACGTTTGACAACTTTGAGCTGTTGCGCAACGGGTTTATTTATGTCGGACCCGCGGACTTAACAAAAGCTCTGGCATTACCGGACACGGCGTTGCATCATGATGTACAAGCAGTTCGTTCACAGCTGGATCTCAAGGCATCCGAACATGAAAAGTCCCCGGTGAGAAAGGAATTCCTCGTTGAATGGAAACCTTAATAAATATTTTTCCGAATTTGTTAGCCACCCCAAGTTCCGAGCATATTGAAGGTGAGCCACGTGCCTCCCATACCCATGTGGGAGCCACATCAATTCGTGGTAGACGCCCTGATGCTTCAGAACGATGTTGGCGATGTGCAAACCGCTCTGACCATATTAATTGTTATGGGCGAGGCACGCCAGCTGCTGCCCATTGAAGATGTCGTGGTGGTAAGTCTGTCAAGTGAGTTGTATTCGCATTCAGCATCAAGTTATAATTACTCTCTGATAGGAGCACTGGTTTCACACCTACGTGGATCAGTTGCATCGCTACGAGCTCTGGAACGAGGCCTGTGAGGTGATCAATCGCGCCTGGGTGCGCTCCGTGCGGCAATTGAACCAACAGTCAACGGTCATGCCAACCAACTGCGGCGAATGTGGCCGAGCGCTGGGCGGCGCTGTGGGCTGGTACTGTGACAAATGCAAGTCTATGCAGTCGGCTAAGTGCACCGTCTGTAATCTAATTGTGCGTGGCGTGTATGCTTGGTGTCAGGGCTGCTCCCATGGCGGTCATATCGACCATTTGCAGCAGTACTTTGCCAAGCACTCGAAGTGCCCCAAGTGTGGACACTTGTGCGCGTTTTCCTGACACCCAGACGAGCCCTACACTTAAGCCGAATTGTCAGCGCAGCTAAAGTTGCGCTGGATGAGTGTTCAAATGTGATGAAAAAATTAAACATAATATTTTACAAATAGTGCCCAAAGGTTGTCTAGCAGCAAATATTGTTTAAGTGCCGTCGAATATTTAAAGAATTGTACATAAAGAGCTGTTGGCATTACTTGTTTATTATTAATTATATTTATATATACTTTTTGTAAAAAATGATGGCTACTTGATGAACGTGCTCTTGAAGGGCATTATAACAACGACCTTATTATATTTAAACAAAAAACGGGCGCCGCCCACATTCAGTAGCAGAAAGGAGAGAAAAAATTGTAAAATTGTGAGTTCTGTAAGAATTTGAAAAATATATTGAGCACAACCAATTACGGTTGTCTAAGCCATGTATTAACTACTTGTATGCCATTGTGGTGTAAACCACAATGACACCACCGCCTGCCAGCGCTGTCCAAAAATCCACGCGCCAAGCGCAATGAAATTTTTGCAATTGATTATGTTCAAATAAATGCAACAAATGGAGAAATTGATAGCTTTTACGGATGTGTCCATTTGATGACGTGTTTACATTGCGCCTCGCGCAGTTCGTCGCTTTAGATGGGTGATGATCTATAGCTTGGATTTTGGAGCAGCGTTGGCGGCTAATTGTCAAGAGGCAAAATCGAGGCTCACAGTTTGGTAAGCATCGCCTGCCGCGCCAGTGGCAGCCGAAGTGGAGTTACGCTTCAACGTTGGCGTATCCTCGTCGTAGCGTATGGTCATAGAATTTGAGTTTCCGGGTATGAGAGCATAGCCCAGAGATTCATAGAATTTGATGAGCTTGTCCTTGCAGTCGAGCGACATTTTGTAGCAGCCAAGGTGCTCGGCTAGCAGCGACACGGTGACAACAATGCTGTCGACGAAACGGAAGTTATAGCAGAAGTACATATAAACACTTTAATGTTGCTCAACTCACAGCTTGCCCAGCTGCTTGCCACGATACGTGTCATTCACCACTACATCCTCAAGACGTCCGCGCTGCAATGAGAGGTAGTATGTATTCCCTGATATTTCAGATAGGAATTTCACCTACCACTGCACAATTGTGTATAAACTTGCGCTCAATGATGAGTGAGGCAGCACCAATTATCTCGCCCTTCCGTGTATCCTCAATGACCGTTACATAGTAATCACCGCTGGCCTTCATCTGCGAGAAGCGTGCTGAGAATCGACGAATTAAGAACTGTTGCAGTACGTTGAAAAGACATTCACTTACTCAGAAATTGTGTGCGTGTTATATTGCCCACATTCGTGAGCTGAGAGAGTAGCTGCAGAAAGCCGCGATCATAGTCCGTATCCTTTAATGGGCGCACCCGCAGCCACGACTCTCCCGGATTGGCAGCCGAGATGAAAGGCTGAAATTTAGCTGGACTGCGATGAAAGTCAAGCTTCAGCAGCACGTTCGGATCGTACAGATACGTCTCTTGCTGCAATCAGTGAATGCCGATTATTAATTAGTATATATGTATATGTTGTAATGGCATTTGATTAAACGTCTACCGTATATTGCACCATTTTGCGTCGTCTACTAAAAAGACCAACGTCAGCACTTGATAAGCCAACACAGTCACAGAATAGCGGCTGAAGTTGTTAGCAGGAATGGTAACTGCCAACTGGTTTCATACATTGCTGTCGCTTTCGTTGGTCGTTGGCTGGACTGGTTTTTGCCCAACATGTTTTCGAAACGTTACCGCAAACCGGTAAAATGTGTAGTCTTTCTTATACACTATAATTGAAGGAATCGGGTACTTATACTTATCATGGACACAAACAGTCGAGCCTGTCAGCCTGCCTCAATGCTTAGCAGTGTGACAGTTTGCGAGAGTAAAAAGAAGAAGCAGATAATCCAAAGGCATATGATAAGACCTACTACATAAATTCACACACACATGTTCACATATGTATTTGTAATTGTCCGTTTGAGAAAGTCTTCAAGTGCGAATAGTTTTAAAGTCCCTGTGTGAACACAATGAATTCATACAAATGTATGTAAGAAAGTATGTAGTAATATTTTCAATTATTTTGTATATATATGAATATATATATATACATTTAAATTAAAAAAATATGTTTCAGTGTATTTAATCTTCGCCTAACCGAGCACAATCGATCTGGCTAGTTATTGATTGAGGTGTGTGTGTTTCTTTTGCTATGAACAGGATTACATTAGCAAAACAATTCAAGGTCGTATCGGGCTGTTGTGTGAATGGCCGCCCCATGGTCACGTTTTTGTTGGCTAATGCAAGTTTGTCTAGTTGGCAATTTCTTATGTATGCTAAAAATACGCACCATTTTTATTTATCAGTTATTTACGTATGATATATAGATAAAATTAATAATACAGCAGCTGCGACGTAACGTTGAGGCGGAAGTTTTTTCCGCTGTTTTATCAACAACTATCAGGAACCAAAGTTAGAGTGAGACTGAAGCGGCATCCGAGTGGTGCAAAGCAAAAGAAAATTGCGAACCGTTTACCGCTCACACGGCTTTGTTTGGCTGTCGTGAAATGCCATATGTATGTTGAAATCGAAGCACCTTTCAATACCTAAAATGTAAAACCGAATTGTAAAAAGCACCTGTAACTGTATATTAACAGACGACCACCAAAACAATCGGCTCTAAAGACTGTGCAATTGTAAACATTTAAACAGCTGATTCAAGAGAGTAGAGTTGCCCGGACAGAGAGAGAAATTTAGAGAGAACGATTTAAAACAAACGTGCATTTATTTTGAATGCTCAATATTCTACAATTAACAGATTTTTGTTTTTAGGTAGCTACAATATACTTGGGTGTTTTGTACATTTCGTAGGCGAATTCCTCTTGATGGCTGGGATCATATTCCAATCCCACATAGTCAATTTCCAAACCAAATGGCCCATCCATGCCTTTTTTGGCTGCCACAGAGAAGCCAAAGTGAGTTACACAATCCAGAGGTATTGCATTCTGACGATCCTGTACACGACCCTTGGAGGATAGAAAGAACTTGGAGAAGGGTATCTTTGCTATTTGCCAGTGAGGGCCACCGCGTGTATAAAGTACATAGTGATATATATCGTTCCACATGAGATCGAAATAGCCCTCTGTGTGTAAATTAATTAGATAGCTGCGTCCGTCGCCGCGCACCTTCATAATCAACATGTTGTACTGAGTCCAGTCGTATGTAGACTCTCGCTTAAATGATTTCTATTAGGAAATAGACTTGCAATTAGAAATCAATCCTGCAGTGACTTATTAACCTTTACTGACCCGCACACGCTTAGTGCGTATATTCGCATAGCCGGTGCGCTTGATGATGCCATCCTTGGTATGCTGAGAACTAACTTCGCCGTGGAAGAGTCCGGCCCCTGAAGCACTTAGCTCTAATGTGGCTTTGCTTTTGCCTTCACCGTGATCCGCATCTGTTGTCACTGTCCATTTATCGAGTACATCCGGTGCTTTGAAATCGAACACTATATCCGTTTCTCCGGGTCGAAATACTAGAATTGGATCGCTTTCGAGTTTTTCTTTTACTTCCTGACGCCATAGCTTGATTTCCTCTTTTAAGTCCCGTAGTCCATCAATTATAAGCTGCTTTTTTGATGGCTCCGGTAGTTTTGTTTTGTAGCCGGATTTCTTTTCTCGCTCCCAAAACGTGCGCTGCACTGCGGTTGTATGAATTTGCGCTGCTGGGAGCCAGCAACTTAAACGTTGCGTTTGTCTGACTAGGCAGTGCATACTAACATATTTTGTTAAATAAAATAACAATTAAATAAGCGGCACCAAGAACCTCAACGTAACAAATCTCAGCTGTGCATTTTTGGTATTCTCATCATTGCGGCAGCAGCAATGCTCCACAGATGCTTGTGAATGGCATTGCAATAAAAATTTGCAGACCCTTCGCTGTGAATGGCACAAGTGGATATTGTTCTTGTTATTAGTGCTTTTAACAGTGCAAAGTTCTTCGAAATTGGACATAATAATTTAGTATGAGGTCAGACCAAGTTGAAAAATGTGCACCAAGCAGTGAATGGAATGTGTTGTACTGGATACTTGGGAGCATCCTAATGCCTGTGGCTTTGCCACTGGCCTTCATAAATTTATGGCAACGCTTTCGCGCCCAGAAGTACCGAAACCAATTACCCGGCAAAGTAGAAGACAATAAATTTAGTTTCAAATTGTTTTATACTAAATTTGGTATCAAATTCTTCTAGGTTGTGCTGATAACTGGTGCCAGTTCTGGCTTGGGGGAGTCCCTTGCGCACGTCTTTTATAAAGCGGGCTGTAAGATTATCTTAGCTGCCCGTCGGGTTGAAGAGCTGGAGCGCGTAAAGAAGGATCTAATGAAACTGGACGTTGTAAGTTATGTCTTCTACTTTTATTGATATATTCATATTGATATATATAGATACTTGCAGGATCCCGCATACCCGCCCACCGTTCTGGCCTTGGATCTATCTGAACTTAATTCTATGCCAGATTTTGTTAAACGCGCCTTGGGTGTTTACAATCAAGTCGATATCTTGATAAATAATGGTGGCATTAGTGTACGCGCCGATGTTGCCACCACAGCTATTGACGTCGACCTAAAGGTAATGGTGGTCAATTATTTTGGCACCGTGGCGTTGACAAAAGGTATTTTCTAGTAAATTTTTGTTCGATAATGTTTATTATCTAGCTCATCTAATATAAAATAGCTCTGTTGCCTTCTATGGTAAAACGTCAGAGTGGTCACATATGCTTCATTAGCTCTGTGCAAGGAAAGTTTGCGATACCTCAGCGAGCAGCTTATTCCGCCTCCAAACATGCACTGCAAGCATTCGCCGATGCGCTGCGTGCTGAGGTGGCCAATAAGAATGTGTACGTTTCCTGTGTCAGTCCTGGTTACATACGCACACAGCTCTCAATGAATGCTCTGACGGGAGCGGGCACTAACTATGGCAGTAAGTATAAATGCCATTCATAAGTAAGCTGGTAGTTAATTCATTTGCATTTCTCTCGCTTTCAGAAATGGATGAAACTACGGCCAAGGGCATGTCGCCCGATAAGTTAGCGGAACGCATATTACAATGCATTATGCGCAAGAAACCAGATATAATTGTCAGCGATGTCCAGGCTAAAATTGCCTATTACTTACGTCATTTGTTGCCCTCTCTCTATTTTTGGATTATGGCTAAACGGGCCTCAAAATTGGAAAAGGCTGAGAAAAAAGCTAATTAAGTAAATGTGTTTCGTTTCTGTAAGTTTAGTTTCATTTTTTTTATTGTTATTTTAATTTTGCTTGAAATGGGAAATTATAAAAAAATATTGCAACAGTGTGCAGTTTAAAAAAATTAGTTAGTTATTTGCATTAACATTTAATGATAAKATTAATAAATTAAATAATTACTGCATTCATACCATTATTATTATTAAGTAAAACTTAAGTGTCACACATTTGCTCTCTGTCTCTCTGTTAGCAACTTATATTATTTAAGAATTATTGTACTTAAATTATGCTTGCTTTTGCTTTACGGCTTTCGATTTACGCGTTATTTAATTGACGACAGAAATACTTTTCGTACTTGATACGTTCTTTGACAACATTTAAAACTTTGTTATTTAACTAGGGGTTTGGTTCTCTACGAGTGATTCTTGGAGTATGTGTATTTAAAATTCATTTAGCTAAATTATAAAAAATAGTTATTATCAAACCAGTGAAGTGGGTGCAAACCCTTTGTCAAAAGGAATACACAAATAAAATTAATTACAATTGAGGTACACACACAGATTTCAAAATCGTTTTGCAGTTTTACGACTAAATAATTTATGTATAT